TCTCTCCCCCATAGACTTCAATGCCGTAAACATATTTCATCCAGTTTTTCTCAGTCTTACCCCCACCCCAATGCCAGCCTCATTCTACAACAGTTTTTAACCTTTTATCATTTCAATGAAATTTATAAATCAACTGTATTTTTAGTTCAATCATTCATAAGCATGTTGCTTTGATGATGCTTTCAATTTTAACACAATTTATTAATGTAATTAATAGCAATGTCTATTCAAACCCTTACAGTATACTGCCTTTCCTTATTTTTCTTTTTTTACTACTTTTTGTGGCTTGCAAACAATACTTTATATACATTATATTTCATGCATGTACATTGTGTTTTATATAATCATTCATATGCATTTTCTTTTTTTTTTAATTTTATCATTATTTTTGTGTATGTGTACCGTCAAATCAGATCTGACCGGTACAGGAGGAGATTTTCCCTCCTTCCTCGGCAGAGCATCTGGTGGATTTGAACCGTTCATATGCATTTTCTAAAGCTTCATCAGACATACTTTGGACAAGTTGCAAGGAGGGACTAGTCCTTGGAGAGGGACAACATGCTTGGGAGGTTGGAGGGACAGCACAGGAGAGGAAGATCCTCAATTGATTCAGTGACTGGGGTAATGTGAGTAGGTGTGTTGGAGACAATAACATTGGCACAAGATAGAGCAGGGTTTAGGTCGCTATAAGTCGTAGGTGACTCAACATCACATAATAACAACAAACAGCATTGTTACTCTGTCTTTTCATGTCCCTTTTGAACCTTTCCTATTCCTTCATACCCCTATCTGCCCACTAACCTTTGCTGTCCTAGTGATCTCCTTCTTCTTTTTCCACCTCTTTCTCTTTTACCCCTTCCTCTTTTGAACACGCTTGCACATCTTGCTCAGTTATCCCTCAATGTTTACAATAATGGTCTGATACAATATTTTTTAATGAAAATAAGTTATTTCACTCAGCGCAATGCTCTCTAGACTCTCCTGTGTTATGTAGTATTTTATAAAATTGTTGGTCTTTTCTGCTACATTGTATTCCATTGTATAAATATACAATTTCTTACTCCATTCATTTGTGGATTGGCTTATGGACTGTTTCCATTTTCTTGCTATTGTGTGATTTCTGGAAAACGCTATTATGAACATAAGTGTGCATATCTCTGTTCGTGTCTCTGTTCTAATTATCTTGGGTTTTATTCCTAACAGTGGTATAGCTGGGTCTTATGAGATTTCTAATGTTCCGCTTTCTGAGGAAATGCTAAACTGCCTTCCAGAGTGGTTGTACCATTTTACAATCCTACCAGCATGTGATCGCATGTGACGTCCAATCTCTCTGCATTCTCTACAATATTTAGGCTTGCTGTCCTGTCAAACTTTGCTATTGCTGCTAGGGTGAGAAGGTATCTCATTGTTGTTTTGATTTGCTTCTCTCTGATTACATGCTGTTATTTTATAGCATTTCTTAATGTGTTTGTTCCTTTGTGAAGTCTTTTAATGTTTTGTATATTCTTTTAATTATCTAATTCTACCTCTTATGCTTAATCATGTCTTTTCTTGTGAAAAGCAGCTTTGTTTGAAGCCTAGATTGAGCTCTACTATTGATGGTAACCCTGGTAGGAATTTTTCACCTTAGACTGTGAAATGATTCTGTTAACTTTTATTTTTCATATTTTGCTATGAAAAGTTGCAAAGAAAAAATTAAAGATAATAATATCTCTACTTTTGCATGAATCCCCTGCTTCAATACCAGTCAACAGATGGCCAATCTTATTTTATCTGATATTCTGCATAATACCAGATTACTTTAAAGCATATATCAAAGATATAATTTCAATAACCTGGTGGCTCTTAACAAAAGAACTCTAAAAAATCTTTGATCTCTGGAGTTTTTGGAGAAAATTTTGATGGTATCTTTTCACTGTTGTACACCTAAATTGTCAAAGTTAATAAAGTGTTATGGGTTTTAAGTAATTTTTAAAAATTATCATTTCCTAGCTTACCTATTATTTTAAGGAAGTTGTCCAAGAATACTATTTAACCGAAATATTTGTTAGCATTTAAAATGTTTGCATGTAATTTTAACTAACTTTTTTTTCATTTCAACTAACTTCTTAAAACATTGATGAATGGATAGAAAAACTATGGTACATTCACATAAGGGAAGCACTGAAAAACAAGGAACTTGAATAATATCACATGACTTGAGTGTGCCTAAAAGACCTTTGCTGAGTGAAATGTCACAGTCACAAAATGACAAATATTGCATAACACTGCGTTTATAAAATAGGACTGACATGAGGGGTTAGAGGAAGAATAAGAAAAGAGTAGATAGATAATGAACAGTACTGCCTTGGAACATATGAGGGGAAGAACTTTCTGAAAGGAATGTATGATTAGGCATTATATGTATGACAACAATGTGGAAAAGAGGTGCATTGCAGAGTAGACTAGGCAGGAGGAAGGGAGGGAGTTAAATGTTCAACAGTGAACGACTGAAAACCCAAACTTTCTGTAAATTTTGATTAAAAGCACAACAAATTTTTAAAAATAATGGATATTTATAGATAGATAGATAATAGATAGATAGATGCATGCAAGGCAGTCTTTTTCAGCTTTACACAGTGAGATTCTAGGTTCCTATGATTTTGATATTTAAATAAGTGAGGCTATTTTTGAGACTCTGTTTTGCTCCCCCTTATATATTCAACCTCCCAACTTTTGTTCAGGTATTCTTCTCTGCCAAAAAAGGAGAAAGTCCTGTGTTGGGCTCCTTCATAAAAAGAGCAGGAGAATAAAACATATTAAACCTCAATTTACTTCAGAAGTATACTACTATTTCCTAATGATTTCTTAGTCCCTGTTTCAAAGAGAAAAAATCACTCAGATTATAAAAAGTACATTAGCTCTAGGAAGAGCAAGAGAAAGACGACTAGCCAAGTCCATCTAAACACTCATTTCAAACCAGTCAATTTGTCACCACTTCATTTGAATTTATTTAGGCAGTCTCATAGTATTCATTTTAGTGGGATTTGACAAGAAAATGTGTCTATTCCTTGGAAGTCTGCCTGTTACAATAAAAAAATGGGAAAACTCTCCTACTGTAAGAGCTGTCCTCAACATGAAGGCATTTTCAATAATTATTTCTAAATATGGAACTATGATGACTTAGTGGGAAGGACTTGCACTGCCAACACAAAGGTATTCAGATTGACTCCACAGGAGAAAGGCAATCTCCTCCTGTGTGATTTGCTTCTGAAAACCTGAAGGAGGATCAGCTATGATTAAATTTTGACTTGAGGGTACACAGCAACAATGTCTAATTATACAAAGCCTTACATTAGCCAGAGCTTACTGTGTAATGAAAGGCCTTGACTCATGGGTATAATGATGCTAGTTGTGATAACTTTATTTTAAATTGTTGTGGGGTTTATCCTCCATCTTTCTTCCTTAGGTGACAAGTCATGTTATTGCTTAAAGCTCCAGTTTTTATGAACTCTATCAGTCCACTTCCTGATCTTAAATGGAGAATTCCTTCCTGTTCCCTCTTGATTTTCCAACTACTAGTCCTAATCTTGATTTCTCTGGTTTCTGGTCTCAGACATCATCTTTCCCCCCTTTCCCTAACTGTGTCAATTAAGCAATTCATGACATTTCTAGTTGACTTTTGTCAATTTGATCTGTGTCTTAGTTGCCTCTTCTGTGTAAAAAATAGACAAAGGTAACTTGATATGTGAATTTGGGACCCATAGTACAGTGGTTAAGTGCTCAGATGTTAGAGAGTTGGCAGTTCAACTTACAAACTGCTTTGTGGGACATATAGATTACATAAATAAACCCCATGGAGCAGTTCTAGTCTATCCTATAAGGTCATTATGAGTTGGCATTAACTAAATGACAATGGATTTAGTTATGCAGTTTATGGTAATAATACATTTTCCCCCTCTAAATATGGAACTTGATATATAGAGGCTGGCCAAAATGTCCCATTTAATAACCTTGCATTGAACCACAATTACTGCCAATCCAATTTTTTAAAACCAAAAATATTCATGCAAAATCTTATTTTGTCCTTTCTAGGTCTAAAAATAGAAACTGTAATTATTAAAATACTTCAGTTTACCTAACAAAAGAATATATGTAGCAACAATCTTTTGTTCCCTTTGAAAACAAGTGTTTAGAATCAGATTTCTGTCCTTGGCTTTTGTCTTGGTGTATCCCTCAAAGCAGGATGGATCACCAGCACCTCTACTGGAGCCACCAACAAAAATCCAGCCAGAGTTCCCACTCTTGGTGCCTGTGCTCCATCCTACACAATCTGATCTGGAAATACAGCCTCTATATGTGCCTCTAGTGTTCCTGTCAGTAAAGGGTATAGACTTTATCATGCTGGACTAAATTACCTTCCTTGAATGAATTACCCAAATTTTCTACTCAATAAAAGAAATAATGCTGACTCTGTGCATATAATTAAAAAATGCAATTCGTAAAAAAAGAGGCAATATAAATATAGCAAATAATAGTGAATGCTAACTTCTAATTGAAAATAACTCTGTCACTTTCTTTTCCTCCTCTTCAGTTGAATCCAAGGCAGTGGAGCCATATCTCTGAAAGTGCCAAAGATCTAGTACGTCGTATGCTAATGTTGGATCCCGCCGAAAGAATCACCGTTTATGAAGCCCTGAATCATCCATGGCTTAAGGTACATAAGCTTATCAGTGCTAATCTATACTTTGTTTGAACATTTCTCTTTTTTCTTTAACACTTCTAATGACACAAAACCATCCTTTCTTTTCTTTTTTTT